TTTTGTTTTGTTTTTTGTTTTGTAGTTATGCTTTTGTCATTATAAATTTAAAAAAAATATCGAGGAACAAATATTTAATAAAATAATTTTTTCAGGTATGGACCACCTTAAAATACAACTTTGTATTATAGTTGGCTTTTGTTATTGGCGACGCCGCATTTGTTGTGCTAAGAGAACTCGCAACCTACATATCGGCATATACATATCGGTACAAATATTAGGGCTGTCATATACATATCGGTACAAATATTAGGCCTGTGCTTATAAATTTATATATACCCACTAATACGATGATGACTTCAATTGTAAGGAAGGGTCAAGATTTTATGATGAATTTTTAAACCTTGCTGCTAAAAATAGTTTGGCTAAAAAGATATAAACAGTTTGAATGATGCTTTTACATATATAAGTAATGATGCCAAGAACATTTCATAGTCAGATCATGTCCCATGTAGCCAAGCTGTTGATAAATTAACATAAAATGTTTTAATATTACTAAATGTTATTGCATCTGACCGTAAACCATTAGACTTTTCAATTAATTGATCATATTTTATTAGTAGTATTATCATTATTGCTTATAATTAGTATACCTGCTAGAGTACTATGCTAGAAGTACCACCTAGAATGCTATAATGGCAAGCTTGAGACTATTTTATTTTAGTTCAATATGAACAAAGCGTAGTTTATTCTAAGTATAAAAGTGCTATTCAATATTTTTAATAGTTCTATATCACATGAATCTTTTGCTTCTAAATTGACTATTTTTAAAATTATAAAATGTATGCAACCTGTTGCATACAATTTATAATTTTGGAATTTACATTTTATATATGTGGCTAACATAATACCTCAAAGTGGTATTAAAGTAAATTCTGAGTTCAATATTACCGGATGAATGGCTTTGTTTCACACAATCATGAGATTGCCAGGGATACATTCACGCAAATTGGTAATAGATGGGGAACCTTAACATGGAGTTTTTTGTGAAAGAATGAAAAAATTCGGACAGTATTTAAACTTGCTTTTTGGTACTGTAAAAATTATACAGAGCAAATTAAGGCTGACAAATGTGGAGATAATATCAATAATGGTGAACCTAAAAAATTCTGGAATAAATAAAATAAAAGAAAGACTCCTGGCCCAGATGGCCTGTTTATCGAATCTTTTATTTATGAAGGACATTGATTGTCTCTCAATCTAAGTATTTTTGTTTAATTGTGCTTGCAATGGGGACATTTGCTATCAACATTTTGTGAAACTACGATAATACCTCTACTGAAATTTGAAATTGGTGACTTAGTAGTCGTAAATAATTATAGAGCAATTGCAATTCCTCCTTCTTGGTCTAAAATTTTTGAAAACATTTTATCAACAAATAAGATAATAAAACTTAATAAACCTCTATATGAAAATCAATTCGGTTTTAAAAAAAATTGTTCAACTGAATAAGCCATTACACAGTTCATTCGTGAAATCTCCAATTCATTTGGTAAAACACAATATACACTAGGTATTTTCATTACTTATCAAAAGTAATTGACACGGTCGATCACAAAATTCTACTTAAAAAACTAAAATATTACGGAATTAATGGCAAATTAATGAAATGGTATAAAAGTTACTTGAAAAATAGAAAACAATTTGTTTTCTATAAAGTTTATTTTCAAAAAGAAAAATTAATTGACATAAAATGTGGTGTTCCACAAGGTTCTATTCTAGGCCCACTTTTGTTTTTAGTCTATATAAATGATATAAAATCAAGCTTCTAACCTTATGAGTATCATTTTTTCGTACGATACTAATTTATTTCTGTCAAACAGTGATATTTATGAGCTTTTTTCAAATATGAATAAAGAACTCAATCACATCTCCAACTGGTTTAAGTACAACAAGTTAACTTTAAACATTGACAAAACAAAATGGATCTTTCTCCACTCTCTTGCTAAAAAGCGTTTTTTACCAAATAACTTACCTAAAGTTTTTATTCATAAAATTGAAATAAAAAATGATACGTCACAAGATTTTTAGGCATTTACATTGATGAAAATATTACATAGAAGTATCATATCGACTTTATTTCTACAAAATTAGCCAAAAGTATTGGAATTCTATATAAGGTTAGATACTGTCTAAGTAAACAAAATTTAATTCAACTCTACTACTCATTTATTCATAGCTATATAAATTATGCAAATATTGTTTCGGGAAGTACCTCTAAAAATAAGTTACGAAATCTCTACCATCGTCAGCAACACGCAATGCGTTTAATATGTTTTGAAAATCGTTTTTCTCATTCAAATATTTTATTTAAAAACGCTAAAGTACTTAACGCTTACGAACTCAATGTCTATAATAATTTATGTTTTATGTTTCGTTGTAAAAATGAACAAGCATTGTTCATTTTCAAAGATCTTTTTACCCATAAAGCTATAAACAAATATACTTTACAAAACAATAATTTATTAATTGAATCCTTTTGTCAAACTAAGTTTAATCAATTTTGCATAAACTATCGAGCACCGTATTTATGGAACAAAATTGTTGTTCCAAATTTTGATTTGTCAATTTCGCTTTCCGTTTTTAAACTAAATTAAAAAACTATATTCTTTCTACTGGCAATATATTTAAATATTTTTGAAATTTAAAATTATTTCACTCTAGATAATTTGTAAAATTATTTTTAGTTTTTGTTTATTCTACATTGTTAATAGTTATTAAATCAATTGTATTTTTATTTTATTATATATACACGATTAATAATTGTAAACTAAAAAATTAAAAATAAAATAAAATACCTTTAAGAGTCAAGAGTTGAATCTCACGTACTGATAATGTAAAGTTTTAGTGTAGCAAAGAATGTTGTTTGTCTACTTGCATTTTAGTATAAAAACTAAACTATGATTGTCAGATGGCAGAAAATAAACTCTGAGAGATTTAATATAAGCAATTGTGTACGACAATGGTGTACGACAATCGTGCACGACAAAGGTGGAACTCCTTTACCATTCTTGTTTAGATTTTATATACGAAAACTGAATTTCAATATTACGAATTTGCATTTTTGATGTAACATAGGTGGCAAATTTTTAGGCCCCCAAAAATTTTAGAGGACTTTTTTTTTTCAGTCATTTTTAGGCTCTGGCCCATAAAAAAGCCCCCAAAAACAAAAATAGCCATGGGCCCCAAGAATCTTAATCCGCCACTGGATAATACTGATTTAGATTAAGAGATTAAATCTTTAAAAACACGTACAAAAGTTCTCAACAGACGACTCAAGAGAGATAAAAAAAAACACAGTTGTTTAAGACGTCTAGCCTCTGTCTGTTCGTATTTTTACTTGTTGTTTACAATAAATTGATAAATAAAAATAAAATAAGAAATCAGGCTATATGGAAACCAGTTTAAAAGCAAACTTGACGCAACTTTAACTGCGAGCCGTTTAATATCTACTAATTCTAATTTTTGAACGATTAACAAGTTAAAATATTTGAGAATAAATATGTAGTTGAGAATACCTGAGATAAACGAAACTTCTTCGAATAAATTTATCGAGTAAACGATTCATAAAATTAAAGAAAATAACATTCAAAAAAAGATTTAAAATGTGAAGATTTTGTAAAAACTTAACTAAGTTAGGTATTTTGATTGCGAAAATTGTAAAAAAAAGGTTTTGCTTATACAAGAAGTTAGTATTTTCACAAATAAAATTTTTGGTTGTTATGGAATAATAATACAAATAATAAATTAGTTCTTTCTAAAATCACTTGAAAAAAAAAATTTGTTTTGTCAAGAAATTTCTCGTTTATAAAGCAAAAATCAATTTTTTTATTACTTTAAAGGTTTAAATGAAAAGTGGTTGTTTTCTATTTAGAATTTAATAAAGAAGCTTATGTTTAATCTTTTTAAATGCAAAAAAAAAAAAAAAAAAAAAAAAAAATAGTAATAATAAATTTGAAAGTCTAGAAATCGTTGTATTTTGTGATGAACGTACTAAAATTAATAAATTAAACCAAATTTCAAAATGTAGTCGTTACTTAAGAAGAATTGTTGTTTACTTATAGTGCTGATATGTTTAAAAATCAAAACTTGTTCAGTATTAAGCTTTTATATTATGAATGGATTATGTTATGAATGAATTTTAAAGCATTAAAATTGATATCTTTATTTTAAGTAAGTTTGTCACTAAAAATAATAGTAATATACTTATGAATTTATGTAAAAAAAAGTGATGCAATTAAAAAGTGTATAATGAGTAATACAGTCATATAGACAATGATATTTAAAGAAAGTTGAAAGAAAAGACTGTAAATGTACAGAATCTGTTTAAAGAAAAGAAGAAATTTAAAGAAAAGACCATAAGTATTCAGATTGGGTACACTTATGGTCATTTCTTTAAACTTCCTTTAAATACCATTGTTTATATGACTGTAATACTGATTATCACTTTTTAATTTCATCACTTTTTTTTACATAAATTCATAAATATTTTTTCTTCTTTCTTTACTTCTAAAAAAAGAAAAAACAACTAGCATCAAATTGCTGATCTATATTAACATATCTTTTTCTTCATGTTCAATATTTTCATGATATTGTTGGTAATTAAGGATGTTGTCGATAAAAGTTAATCTAAATTTTCCTAAAAACATTGTTCATTTTCTTTATATTTCTTTTTGATAAAATTTATGCATATTTTATATCATAAAATTGTATTATCAAAGAAAGTATGTTTTACAATAAAATATTTTCAAGGAATATTAACTAATAAATTTGTATAATCCACTTTTGTATAGCCATGCTATGTAAAAGTGGATTATTTAAATCTAAATGATTATTCTTCCTTATCTAAATAAAGAAGATTAGCCTTTTTTTTTTGACATAACTCTGTTTTTTTGTATTAAAAAATAATTCAAAAAAAAAAGATGCAGAATTATTATTTGTATATTATTTATGTTTATCTTTTTCTACTAATTTTTTCAATTTTTTTTTTGATTTTTAACAGTTTTTATAGTTTTAAATTAAAAAAAGAGAACTTCTAAATGTTGATTTAAAACCGATCTGATGCATATATTTTTATATTTTGGTAAGTTTACTATGTTTTCATTTGCATTGTATAACATGTTTATATTTTACTTAAAAATGTTTAACAGAAATGTATTTCTTCTTAATCTGATATCTGAATCTATTGGAAAATAATAGCAATTTTTTCTTAATTTTAACACTTCTAACAATAATGCATAGTAGTGTGGTAGCAGGTAGTACTATATGGCATTGTGTCACTAATACATAACAAATAGGTGGCAGAAACATAGCAGCTACATTATATGATTTAGTTTAAAGTTTATTACAACATGATTTGTAAAATTAAACAAAAATTAAATTTTGTCAAGTCAAAAAGAATTTAATATAATAAATTTTTATAGATTTTTTATTTGTAAAACCTATTTTATAAGTAAATATAAAAAACAAACAAATAATAATTAAAATATATGTACTACATTATTATGTAATTGAAGCATTTAAATTAGATTATTATTGAAATATTTTATTTGCAATAGTTAATTACTTAGTGTAAATATTTATGTCTGTTTATTAACATAACATTTGCCCTACTCTTATAAGTGCTCAGGTGTATTTACAAGTAAAGTTTTTCTGGTGCTTTAGAAATTCATGAAGATCTATGAGGAAAAGTATCTATTTGCTCTATAGGATTCAGATTGTTTTCTAGTTCCTTTTTGGAAGTTAAAGGAGTTTCATTGCTATCATTAAGGGTTAAAGGGTCCGATGGTCTGATGGTCTTTATTTTTAAATTATTGTTTGATGTTTGTATTATAGGTCTTGTTCCAATGGGAGCCAGCTGTTTAGTAGGCACAATAGTTTCATGACCACTAGGAAATCTCACATAAGCATTAAGAGGATTAGCTTCAAAAAGCTGAACCTTGTTTACTGAATCTTCAGTTAACTTTGCATCGCATTTTTTTTTTTATAAGTACAGATCCTGGGTTAACAAGCCATGAAGGAATTGAGGACTCAGATGATGATCTTTGTTGAAAATTGAAAAGATATTTATGTGGACAATTAAAAGATCTCTATTATGTACTTCTACAATTAGTAGAAGTACATAATAGAGATCTTTTAGCATGAAGTGCATCAAGTAAAACTCTTTTCCATGATGATATAGGCAGATTTTGAGATTTCATAGTGAGTAAAATCAACTTCCAAATACTTCCATTGTATTTCTCAACTTGCCCATTTCCGATTGGGTTGTAAGGAGTTGTTATGCTAGTTGTGGTTTCTTTTGGTAAGGTCCAGTGCTTTAATTTAAAAGATATTATCCGGATCCGCAATCAGAATAGAACATAGTTAGGCATCCAAACGTAGAAAAAAGATCAGCTTAACAGTTAATTATTGTCACATTTTTTTCAGGATAAGCAAACGGAAAACGAGAGTATTCGTTTACAATTGTTATCATATATTGTTCAGGGGTTGAAGAAGGTAATGGACTTTAAAGTCAATAGATATATGTTTGAATGGCTGAGTTTCTCTAATTAGGTGTACATCATTTGGGCAATAGTACTTGGGTTTTATTTCTTTTTATATTCTGCAATCTGTGCATATTTGCTTTACATCCTCTACTGAATAAGGTAGGTTTCTTGATTGAATAAAATGTTGGAGGCAAGTATTACCAGGATGGCAAAGTACAGCTTGCAAATCATTCTAAACTTATTGCTGCACATCTAACACGAGTAAATGTATCTGGACCACTCTTACATTGACCAGGACGATAATGGATATTATAAAAATATGGAGACAAGGCTATTCTCTAACACATTGTTTTATCATTCTTTATTTTACTGCTTGATTTATAATCATACATTAATGCCACAACTTCTTTCTCCACTGAAGAATAGTATTGTTCACCCCCTTGAAGGATTCAGAAATGGAAGGCAACAGATATGGCAAAATCAGAAGCATCAGTCTTTAAAGTAAAAGGTATATATTTGCATCAATGGTTTGCATGAAAGATTGAACGAGCTCATTTTTTAATGTTTAAAAAATGTGCTTGTTTAAAAAAGTGCTGATATTTGCTGCTGATTGAGTGGAAATTGAGTAACAGAGTTCAAAGGTTTAATTTTACCAAAAAGCTTTCTTATCCGTTTTGCATAGTTCAAGAACATTCCAATAATATGCTGTAAAGACTTAGCATTATCAGATGGAGGTAACTTAATGAGAGAAGCAATTCTCTGAGGATCAGGTTTCAAAGAGTCATAAGACATACGTTAACTATAAAAATTCAAAGTCTCATTTGAATATACACACTTCTCTTCATAAAATGTAATTCCAGCATCAATGGCAGCTAATCTCAACTTAAGCAGATTTTCATCATGTTTTTTTTTTTTACTATAACCAAATATTGTAATGTTATCAATGAAAGGAAAATAGTCAGTTCATATTTTTTAACAAATTCAGTTATTTTGCATTGAAAACATGCAAATCCATTGGTAAATCCAAAAGGATATGCATCCTTCTGGGTATACTTAATAATAGTTTCAGAATAATCAACTACCATACATTCAGAATAATCAACTACCAATCAACTTGACTTTGTTATAGATTTTGTTTTAAAGAGTTATTAAAACATAACAATATCAGGCCTTGTTTTAAATAAAAAATCTTTAATTTTTGAATTTTTAAATGATTGTTTCTTAAATTTCTAATTGCGGCTTTGCAACTACAAATAATTTTTTATTTTAAAAAAATTAGCGAGAAACAAATAAAACAAATACGTTACTTTATTTACTCTATTTATTAAAAATTTATTATTTTATTGACGATTTGTTGTGAAAGCAAAGATCCAAACATCATTTATTAATATTATATCTTATTATTATATGTATTTATTAATACTATATGTATATATTGTTTGTTAAAAAATAATCGCTGCAATTTAACTTGCTTTATAAAAAAAAAAAAGTTAACTTGTGTTTTGTGCAAATTTTTGATGCAACCATTTTTAAAACCGTATTTAAAATTTACTTTGAATAAAAAAGTTAAGGAAGGAAAACTGCAAAAACAATTGCGATAAAAATAAGCTCATTTTTTTTAAGAACAAATAAAATTTAAATATTGAACAATATTTAGTAATATTTTAAAATAAATTTGATGGTTAAGTTAAACCTAAGCATTAACTTTAATTTTAACAAACTAAAAATATTTTTTAAATAAAAATTAAATTATGTATATTTTTTTATCAGAATATAATTATATATTTTTATTAAATTAGTTTTAAATTAAATCATATATTTTAATTTTTTATTTTTTTAATATCTTTACTTCCAACAAGGCTGCAAGCATTGGAATAGTTGGAAATTACTGGAAGAGAAAAGATGAAGTTTGTAGAGCAAGATAACGATATACAGACAACTTAAAAGATTGCAAATTATATGAATCCGGAAAGCAAGATGAAGGAAGCGAATTCCAAAGAGCTGATGCTGAGGAAAAAAAACTAGGCGAATAAGAGTTTTTGAAGCACTTAGGAACAGTCACAGAAAAAAGATAATACTTGAATGATGAGTAACACAAGAATGAATTTTAGTAGATGGCACAAGAGACGCTAGCTCTTTAAAGCAGTGCCCATTATAGTATTTGTAGAAAAGAGTAAGAGAAGCAACCTTACGATGATGTGATAATGGTTGGATGTTAGCTGCAAGTCCAGTCTCCTCCTCGTCTGTAGTGGCCTTCTCAGCCTTGAGGAGGTAAATTGTAAAAAAAGAAAAAAAAGAGCAGCTCTAACTATGTTTATAATGTGTTTTTGTACCTTGTCTAAAAGAGAAAGGGCATCACTGGAAGATCTGCCCTAGATATGGCAATGGACCAGTTTTGAGATTCGTAGAGATAAAGCATAGAGTCCAGAGTAAGAAAGAGTAGAGCGTGATAAAGAGATGCAAACTTAAAAGATGCTTATTTTGATGAAGGGTAGATGACTCATCAAATACATTATCATTTATAAGATTGAAATCCATATTGATGATCAGAAAGTAACTTATTAGATTCAAGATAAGAGATTAAGTGTTTGTTAATTAAAGATTCAAAAACCTTGTTTATGATAAGAAGACTAATTGGACGGTAGTTAGATGAATCAGATCTCCTTTCAGAATTTTTGAAAATTCGGATAACAGATGCCGCTTTCCAGCATGCTGGAAAACAAGACTCTAATAAGCAGTTGTTAAATAGTTATAAAAGTATAGATAATAGCTCCGGAGAACACTTCTGCAAGACTATAACAGGTATACTGTCTGGAACACAAGTTGTAGAAGAGTCTAAGCAGGAAATCACTTTAGATACATAAGCTGGAGTGATACAAATGTCAAGCAATGGATCAACCTGTTTGATGACTAAATTAAGTAGAACACAACTAGTGTAATCAAGAGGTAATATAGACAAAATATAGGCAAAACCTTTATACAATGCAGGGTTCGAATTAAGTGATCGCGAATTGCAATATCTGGAAATGCTTCCGGTTTTTAAAATTTTAGCTTTTTAAAAACCGTAAAACTGTTTTGATCACTAAACTCAATAGACATCATTTAATAAAAAATATTTACGTCGATTATGATATAAAATCTTAATGTAAGTCCTTATTATCACTATTATTTTTATTATTATTAAAGATTATAGTTTAAACTTTAATATTTTAATTTATTTTATAAAACATCAGATAAAACTAGAAAAATAAAGCACGATAAAGTACGATATAAATATTAAAAAACAAGCGCTAATCACAACAATCTAAAGGACTTTAACAATGATCGATTATTTTAAATAAAAGAAATTGTTAAATAAGCTATAAAATACTTTTATATCTTATTTAAGTCTCATTCAATATTTTCTTATAAATTTAACGCTTGTAACACTTTAGCTGATACAAATATAAAATCAAAAGACGGAGGAATTAGTATATAAAAACTAATTTAAACTTTTTAATAGTTACTTTAAAACAAAAACAAAAAAAGAAACTTTAATAACATATTTTAAAAAAATATACTTTATAATTTTTTTTCTTATTAAATAATTAAATTCTAATTTAATTTAAAACATTTAAATTTTTAAATAAATAATTCCATAAACTTTTCCCCTAAATAAAAATCTATTTTAATGTTTTATATAATGCGCAAGTAGCTTTAGCATACTTTTTAATTGGTTGTTTTTTTATGCAAAGTTTTATACAATGCGCAAATAGCTTAAGCATAGTTTTTTATTGGTTGATTTTTAAATTACCGCGAAAGTTTTTCGGACTCTTAGTAATAATAATTTTTGTCTTGCAACTTTTTTTTATTTATAATCCTTAAATTACATATTATTAATTATTGTTTAAAAAAACAATAACTAATAATATATAAATTTTGACTGTTATTATTTTTGCAGTAGTAAATTTATTGTTTTTCTTTTTCATTAATTTTTGCAATATAATAAACTGGCCATTTCATTAAAACAGTGTTTACGATTTTTGAAAAAACTAAGAATTTAATGACCACAGATATTTCCGGATATTGCTATTCGCGATCACTTAATTCGAGCCCTGTAATGGTTTCTAGCAATAGTAAACAGACGTCTGTTTTCTGGAGAATTGTTTTGCTGATAGATATGGAAGTAACAGTTTCGATTGGAAATTGCAGCAGCACAATGTGAGGAAAACCATGGAGAAGAGTGAGGCTTGACCTAGAATCATCGAGAGGTAATAAAAGATTCCATGCCAGCCTGAATTCACAAAATAATATAAGAAGCACATTTGTCAGTAGGAAGCCGAAAGATTTCTACCCAAGGGCCATCACGAACAAAAACGTGCAAAGACTCCCAGTCAGCTCTAAGGTAGCTGTAATAGGTATGATGATAGGGGGATTTTGATGATGAAGAAGAATGAGATAATAGTTTTAGAGAGATCAAACCACGATGAGAAGCACCTAAAGGTGAATTTAGAGAAATTGAGCACTAACTAGGATCAGAAACAAGACATAAGTCGAGTAGAGAAGGTAAATGATTTCGGAAAGTTGACTATTTGAGTTTGAGATTGAGAAAGACAAAAGTTGAAGGATTTTACACCAGCAGTGTCCCTGGCACTAGAGTGGTGAGCATTTAAGTCACTAACTATAACGATATTGGCTGATGGATAAAGAGAGACGGCTTGGTCAATTTGACCTGAAATAACATCTGAAAGAGTGCAGTTTTGAGATAAAGGAGAGCCATCTGGAGCGATATACAAGTGGTGTAAACGAAAGCACTTAAAAGAATAGTCTGTGGAATCAAACCTAGTTTCCTGACAAATAGGTAAATTCTTATGAATGTAAATGCCCAGGCCAAGCACGTGACTATTGGAGTCAATACAAAGTTAAAGTAAGACGTTAAGATCAACGTTAAGATCAACGTTAAGATCACAAGATAAGATAGTTGCGCTCAAATTAGTCTCACAAGGAGCAAGTAGGTCTGGTGATCTTTTCAAGAGAGAAGACTCAACAGAAGAAAGGTTTCTTCCAAGACCACGAATATTAGTGAATGATTAGTTACTCTAATCATTCACTAATATTCTAAAATACTCTGATATTTTTACGCTAATAATGGAATGAGCCTCTCTGAGAGCTAGCACAGAGTTCGGGAAACCTGACTACTAGCCGGCCTCAGAACCATAAAACTGAGTTTTAGAGCTGTACCCTCAGGAGATAATAGAATGAGATAATACCCTAGGAGATAATAGAATGAGTTGCCTAGTCATAAAAACAGAGACACAAGCAAAACCCATGCATCAAGTCAAGAAGATATAACATTCAACATCCTAAACTGGAAACAATGTATTAAAAATACATCTGCACCAGCCTAATTGATGAAAAAGGGATGCGAGGCTGGTCAACAGAGAATCTATTGATTCACTGGGTTTCTTTTTCCGTGTTGACAAAATGTGTCTGGCAAATATTTTATTCTTTGGTTTATGTATATTTTATGTTTGTTTTATGTAATATTGACTCGAGAATATTGTTGCTTGTTCAAACTCACTACACTCTGATATGAATTCATAGGCATTAGGTTCAATAAGGTTTAAAAGTGTAAAATTTTCTTAACCAATGGTTATGTTTTTGCTGCATCTGGTAAGTTCGAATCTATACGGATGGAGCGATTCATGAAATATTTCAGGCTTCATGAATCGCCCATCTTTCTTTTATTTTATGATAATATCTTAGCTCTTTTGATTTTTAATGGATAACCAAGTTATTTATGTTGGCTCAAAATAGCTATAATTAAATTAGTCTATAACAAAGTAACAAAATATGTATACATAAATATGTTGATATAGTGTGTGTTTATATATATATATATATATATATATATATATATATATATATATATATATATATATATATATATATATATATATATATATATATATATATATATATATATATATATATATATATATATATATACTTATATATATACTTATATATATATATATATACTTATATATATATATATACTTATATATATATATATACTTTTTAATATTCGACTTAGATAAAAATTACAAACATATATTGTTGTAATATTACAAAACTTTTTTATTGATCCTGAGCACAGTTACTATACTTAAAACCAGCAATTTTAACACATACACTTATGTTAACACAATCACTTATGGTTAACATTACTAGTTTTAATTGAAGTATTTTTTTTTAACCATATACTTTTTTATTTCTTAATTTGTTTAATATATGTGTTTTTTTATAGTGCTTTTAGTTCTTGTTGGGAGTCATGCTTTTGAGCAGCAACATATTCAGGAAACAATTATAGATTCATCAAAACAATCTGATGAGAATTTTCATAAAAATAATGACAATGTTGTCTCAGAAAAGGAGACAACCGTTGACTATGCAAAAAGTGATGATTATATGACAGAAAAAACATTGCATGATACCGAAATAATTTTGCATAATACAGAAAATATTTTGCAGGATACTGAAAATATTTTGCAACATACGGAGAATATTTTGCAGGATACAGAAAACATTTTTAATGATAAAGTTTTTAATGAAGACAATTCTCCTAATAGTAAAGAAACCCCCCAAAAAAAAATTGATAATGAAGAACCAAAAATAACCACAGCATTCAGTCAGAATCCAAAAGTTACAAATAATGAACAAATAGGTAATCAAATTTCAATAAAAGACAATCAAAAACCTGATGGAGAGACAGTATTTACAAATAAGGATGTACAAGAAAAAATAAAAATAATTAATGATAAAATAAAAACATTAGACAAATCTTTTACTGAAAATGAACAAACAGATAATAAACACCCAGACGAACACCCAGAAAACAAAGATTTAAAAAATGATAATCCTAAATTGGAATCTTTAATGGAATCTATTTCAACTGTTAATCATGGAGCTGGTATTTCAACTTTTAATCATGGAGCTGGTATTTCAAAAAATATGGACCATTTAATGAATAATCAAGATGTTAAATCAACTGATAATTTAAATGATCATATTACTGACCATGTTGATGATGTCACTAGTAGCATTGAAAATGAGAAATCAGTTCCAATATCAATTAAAACAGATACAGAATCTATTATTAAAAATGAAGATTCTAACTCTAATGCAGAAAACTCAGAATCAAATCTATCAACAAAAAAAGGTATATAAAATTTTTATAAAAATCATTTTCTTAAATTCTTTTATTACTGTTGAATTTATGTTTTCTACATATAGAAAGTGTTGATAATGTACAAAAGTTATATGAAGAAGCTATTCATCTTCTGTCACAAGAAAAAAAAGATCACAAAAGGTAAATAAAAATATTTAAAAAAAAAACTTTACTCTAAAATGTTTTTCTAAAACAAACTAGTTAATGTTTTGTCCAGCATTTTAAATATTTAAAAATATATATGTATATATATATATATATATATATATATATATATATATATATATATATATATATATATATATATATATATATATATATATATATATATATATATATATATATATATATGTATATATATATATTAATAATGAATTTTCATTATAATAACTAATCAAATTAAGATGGTTGTCACTATGAACAATTTTATTACAGTTAATCAATTCTATTTATTACTTCCAAAGTAATGAGTTAAGCAATATAATACCAAGGGTGTAGCATGGTGCACTAATTGTAGCAGGATTTATTCTTAGTTTAAATCAGCGGTTATGGTCTGACATTAGAAATGTATAGTTACTTTTTATTATTATTTGTTATATATATTTATTGTTCCTTTTTCATTCTTTTTTTCAGCCCTTGTATATTATATGTATTTCATTATGTTTTTCAGTTCTTGTATATTATATATGTTTCAGGGCTTTTAACCTCTTGCTTAATGCAGCTGATCAAAATCATACTCTTTCAATGGAAAAAATTGTTTACGATTTAATTGTAAGCTTTTTTTAATTATTTATTTTTTCTATAAATTGTTGTATCTCATTAAATTTATATTTAATTTATATTAAATTTATATTTTGTTTTTATAATAAAACTTGTTTTATTACCTCATAAATTATGTTAAATTATCAAAAATATTCTGTTTTGAACAATCAAAAAAAATAATGTTAATAATAATAGAATGTTTGTTGTTGTAATGAATAGGTAATGAATGATGTTTATTAATAAATAAAAAAAAGCTTGTAAGGTAAAAAATTGAAATTAAAAATTTAAAAGGTTAGCAGGGAAAATTGGGTAAAATAAATATAGAAAGTAAAATTAGATGTAAGTAGATGTTTAATCTTTGATTTTATTTTGATTTTTTTTTTACATATGTATTTTTTTCATTTGCTTATTTATCTTTTTATATCTATATTTATGTATTTTTTACAGATGTATTTTTTTCATTTGCTTCTTTATCTTTTTATATATTTATCTTTATGTTTAGTTTGGTGACATTTTAGAACGAAACTTGACTAAAGCTGTAGAAATGTTTCATATGTTAGCTACAAAAGGTTCACCAGTTGGTCAACAGGTGCATGTATATAAAAGTTATAATAGGAAAGGACACAACACCTAAAAAAGCATAAATTGTATGCTATAATTATACAAAGCACATGATATTTCTGTTCAACAAAACTTTTTTTAAAACAGAGATTTGAGATGCTTTTTGAAACAGAGATAACATGTGAGGTGTTTTGAGCGTATCAAAATATGCTTTACATCAAAAGTAATTTTTAAACAATTTTTTAATTGCTTCTTATTTTATTGTTGATGAATTTTTATATTAAAAGATTGTTTAAGGTTAAACTACAAATGCATTTTTTAATAGAATTGAACCACATTATTTGCTTAGTTGGTATGTGTTTACACATTTGATAATCACATCATTGTATTGATGAGTTTGTAAAGGAAGAAATCCATATCTGATTGTTATACCCATTTATTTGCTTTATTTTCTCTCATATATATATATATATATATATATATATATATATATATATATATATATATATATATATATATATATATATATATATATATATATATATATATAAATATATATATATATATATATATATATATATATATATATATATATATATATATATATATATATATCTATATATATATATATATATATATATATATATATATATATATATATATATATATATATATATATATATATATATATATATATATATATATATATATATATATATATATATATATAGCTTCTTATCATGACAAGAATAAACGATAGTATCAGCGAACAATGCCACTTTAAATGTGAGAATATCTGGAAGATTGTTAATGTAAATTAAAAAGAGTATAGGGCCAAGGATTGAATCTCGAGGAACCCCTGAAGTTACAGAATAAGAAAAAGAGTGCTGTCCATCAAGGACAACTTTTATGCTACAATAGGAAAGGAAGGATTCAATAATCTTAAAGATGTTTCCAGATACACCGTAAGAAGAAGGCTTATGGAAAAGACCAGCATGCCAAACTTTATCAAACACTTTGGAAATGTCAAGAGCGATGGCCTTAACCTCTCCACCTTAATCTAATGCACATTAAAACCTATCGGTTATTACTATTAGCAATGGGACAGTATTTAGACAAATCAGATCGCTCTCCAGAATTTTTAAAAATAGGGATAATAGATGCTGCTTTTCAGCAGGCTGGAAAACAAGACTCTGATAAGCACTTGTTGAATAGTTTTGAAAGGAAGCAATTCAGCTTTGTTTTTAGGTGAGGTGAAAAAATCTAAACCATACAAAAGAGGTGGAATTACAGACTTGCCCTTATTATTGATACTATTAAAGATTTTCTAGAAGTCACGATAGTCTTATTTTTATGATGAAATACGAGATTTCATGACCTGAGAATAGCGGGCTTTGGCATTAGACAAAACCTTTTTACAATGGTTTCTAGCAGTAATAAACAGATGGTTGTTTTCTGGAGAATTGTTTTGCTGATAGATATGGAAGTAATGATTTCGATTGGCAATTGCAGCAGCACAATGTGAGGAAAACCATGGAGAATAGTGATGCTTGATCTAGAATTGTTGAGAGGGAATAAAGGATCCTATGCCAGCCTGAATCCACAAAGTTATGTAAAAAACACATTTGTCAACAGGAAGACAAAAGATTTCTACCCAAGGGCCATCACGAAGAAAATCATGGAAAGAGTCCAAGTCAGCTTTAAGGTAGTTGTAAGATGTACGATGATAGCATATGATAGCATAAAAAAGCAGTTCACAAAACATTTGTGAAACGCTTATTTAAGGGAAGAGAAAAGAGTAATGAAAATGTCAGGAAATTGCAACTACAAATGTTTGAGGGAGTATTTAAAATACATAGGTCGTTAGAGAAGTTCGTAGAACTTCACCTATAAAGTTACAATAAGACTGTGTTTCAATATTACCATTTTAAGTACTTGTTGATTTTAAATGTTTATTTAAAAAGTTATTTAAATTTTATTATATACGTTTGAAACAAAAAATTTAAAAATGCAAAAACTTCGGGTTTTAATATCAAACATATATTAAAACCGTGCTCTATTTGGAGTTTCAGCACAAGCCATAACCGTTGAACCGTGACAGGTTTCAGCCAAATAGCATGTTCAACATCTTCAAAACAATAGGTGTTGTTCATTTGGGTTATGTTGAAAAGGGAGACACCATTACTAGCAAGTATTATATAAAAAATTGTTTGAAACCTCTTATATGCGAAATAAATAAGCAAATACCTAAAACAGGCACTCACAATTTCAAATTTCTCCATGATAACACTCGACCCCATGTAACTTAAACCATCACAAATTGTCTAAACCAAGCTGGATGATATTTAGGGGGATTCTGATGATAAAAAATAATGAGATAATAGTTTTAGAGAGATCAAACTGTGATCAGAGGCACCTAAAGGTGAATGTGCAGAAACTGAGCACTGACTAGGATTAGAAACAAGACATAAGTCGAGTAGAGAAGGTAAATGATTCGGGTTGTCTAGAAAGCGAGTTGAAAAGTTGACTATTTGAGTTAGGGATTGAGAAAGGCAAAAGTTGTGGGCTTTAATGCCTGCAGTGTCACTGACACTAGAGCCAAGCCATTCAGTGTGATGAATATTAAAGTCACCAACAACAACAATATTGGCTGATCAATAAAGAAAGAGGGCTTGGTCAATATGATCAGATATAACGTTAAGAAGAGTGCAGCCTTGAGATGATCGAGAACAATATAGAACAAAGAGAAAGACCATAGAGTGAAGTGGTGCTAAACGAAAGCACATAAAAGAGTAGTCTGTGGATTTAAACTTAGTTTCCCGACAAGTGGGTGAATTCTTACGAATGTAAATGCCCAGGCCAAGCATGTGACTATTGAAGTCTTTACGAATTAAAGGAAGATAACCATCAACACTAAGATCACATGATGAGACAGCTGAACTCAAATTAGTCTCACAAAGAGCAAGTAGGTCTGGTGAACTTTGCAAGAGATAAGACTCAACAGAAAAAAAGTTACTTCGAAGACCACAAATATTAGTGAATGATAGGTTTAACAAACTTGGTGATGACAGTGGTTTTTTGTGTTTTATAGTTTTTGTTACTTTATTCATTTTCAAATTTGTTAAAGAACTTGACTCGAAACATAGATAGTACTCAGTACACTGTTTATTAACCCAAGCAATTGCCTCATTACTATTAATAAACCCTAAGCTGTAACAAAGGGCTCCAATGAGGCCTTGGCAATGCACACCAAAAGTACAAACAGCTGTTGATGGAATCAGCCTCTCTGTGAGCTACCACAGAGTTCGGGAAACCTGACTACCAGCCAGTTTCAGAACCATAAAACTGAATTTTAGAACTGTACCCTCATTAGAAGATAATAGAATGAGTTGCCTTGTCATAAAAACAGAGGCACAAGCAAAACCCATGCATCGAGTCAAGAAGATCCAGCATTCAACATCCTAAACTGGAAACAATGTATTAAAAATACATCTGCGCCAGCCTTGTAGTTGAAGAAGGGGTACGAGGCTGATCAACAGATAGAATCTGTTTACCTCTTAAGTCTTTGCCTAGGAGGCCTTCTACAAGACAGCAGGCAGATGCATTTAACATCTGCCCAAGATGAGTATTTTTATCGAGACACTATCTTTAGCCTTTACTCAACCAAGAGCCCCAAGGCATGGGGTGTTTTATGTTGGAGTTGGTATCTTTTAGCCTTTGCCTAAAAAGGCGTATCCTACAAGGCAGCAGAACACGAAGCAAATTGTACTGGGTTACATGTTACCAGTAGCAGGATAAACCTGACTTAACTTGAAATCTTGCATTTTATGATAAAAGCAATGTTGGTATATATCGAGAAAATGGATTAGCTATATTAATGAATATAAGTGGTCAGGAAACGAAGAGGATATAGAAACATTTTGTACAGATTTTTAAAAGTAACAATCTTATTATCCCGATTAAATGTAATTTGAAAATAGTTAACTATCTCAATTTAACGCTAAACCTTAACGATGGTTCATTTCAGTCGTACCGCAAACCATATAATATATTTCATTATATACATATTAGTTCAAAAATTCACCGAGTGTAATAAAAAGTATTTCTAAGACTATTGAATTGAGATTATAGCAGCATTGACAAGTGAATCAATTTTTAAAGAAAGTATTCCTCCTTTTCAAGAAGCCTTGAAAAAATCAGGGTACAATTGCGAACTTGTATACCATCCACATATAAAATCAACAAACGACAATCATAAACGCAAGATAATTTGGTATAATCCTCCTTTCAGTGCAAATGTTGTTACTAAAATAGGTAAATGTTTTTTGAACCTCGTCGACCTCCACTTTTTAGTTAACCAGACTTGAAATATTTAATAAAAACACAATCAAAATAAGTTATTCCTGCATACCATACATAAAATCCATTATTAACTCTCACAATAAAAGTATTTTACAAAAGGAGGAAAAAGTTAATGAAATGAAATGCTACTGCATTGACAAATCCAAATGCCCAATAAATAACCATTGCCTTTTCAACAACATTGTTTATCAGGCCACCATCTATTCAAACAATCTGTAATGATGTAAAGAAAAAGTGTATTTTAGACTCGCGAAACAACTTTTAAAGTTTGCAATGCAAACCACTTAAAATTGTTTAATGCAGTTAGATAAACGAATGACACAGAGATATCAAAAGAAGTATGGAAATTAAAAGAAAAAAACTTTACACCTTTTATCAGATGGAAGCAGGGTTGGAAAAAACCCAGGGTTTTTTAAAAAAAAACCAACCCAAATGGGTTTTTTTGGGTTTGGGTTTGGGTTTGTTTGGGGTTTTATGGGTTTTTTTAAAAACCGATCAAAATACCAAATTTTTATAACTGTATGAGTACAATAATTTTTTTTTTTAATTTCATAAACTCATCTCCCTATTAGAACTCACGCCACCGTAATTCTAATTGTAATTTTAAAATTTAAAATTTTAATTTTGTAATATATGGCTGATGATTGCCGTTAGGCATGAAACTTCAAGTTCCATAATAAAAGTTTTTTCTTTTTCGTTTTTTATTGTTTATATATATATATATATACATATATATATATATATATATATATATATATATATATATATATATATATATATATATATATATATATATATATATATATATATATATATATATATATATATATATATATATATATATATATATATATCTCCAAATTTGATAACAGTGTTCTATAAAAAAACAATCAAAAGATTTATAGATATTGGAACTCTTGATTACATGAGTTGCAAATTAAAGAGCATGATAACAAGAGGTAACTTAACAGATGAGGAACAGTGCAGGACCAAGGATGGAATCTAGTGTCATAATCATAAATCTAAAAACCATTATGAAGTTAATTACAAAAGGAATTCTAGTCAGCTTTATGGTAGTAGTAAGAATTGAAATAAATTGAATCTGATGTAGATAAAGTGCAAAATTCAAGTTTTAGTGAGATCAGAGCCCAATCTGAATCACTTAAATAAGAACAAAGCTATGTATAAGCTAGAGTCTGAGACTAGAAACAAATTAATGAATAAAGCTAAGTTATTAGGGTTGTCTGGAAAGATTTTGAGTTTTAAAGCTGTTAGGGTCAGTGGTACTAGAACTTAGTCATTCGGTGTAATGAGCATTGAAGCATATCAACAATATGACGGATAATGAGAAAGTGCTTGGTCAATTTGATCCAAAAAAACATAGAAAAGAATGCAGTTGTTTAAAAAATGAGAATGGTAAGAAAAAAAGAAAGTTGATTTGAAAATCAATAGTGAGAAGATCTCACAACAAATAATTGAATTATTGATATGCTCAGGCGAATTTAACCTTTTAAGTCTTTTTTGCTTATATGCAAAGGTTTATGGGCGTGTGTGTAAGGTGCTAATGTTTATGCATGCGTGTGTGTAAGGTGCAAAGGTTTATGCATGCGTGTGTAAGGTGCAAAGGTTTTTTGTATGCATGTGTAAGGTGCTAAGGTTTATGCATGCGTGTGTACTCTTTATAGCATTAAAGCAATTTTTTATTAAAAAAAATTAAAAATTTTTCTTGCTAATTTTCAGTGTTAAAGTTAAATTTTTAAAATAAAAAATTAAATTTATTAATAATTAAAAAATGGAATTATATTGATAAGTAATTAAAAGATAAAATAGTTTACTGAACTTTTTGCTTTCATTTTTGCTAACTAATTTAGGGTCTTGGGTTTGTTTATGGAATTGGTTTAACTGTTCCTTCTAGTCAAGCTAAAGTAAGTTTTTTGTTAATCTTAATTTTTTTTTTTTCAGAAACATGTTACATATGGCATATGATAAAACTTTACTATTTTTAGTGTATAGTGGTGTCCAGGTCTCAGCTCTAAAAATTATAGGTTTCAAGACTTTGAATCTTGAAGTATTTTTAACTCAGTATAGTCCATAATTCTCTTACCATTTTAGATGTTTCTGAGCACCAGAGACTAGGGACAAATGTGGTTCAAAGCCTTTTTGAGAATGCCCTGCTTTAAAATTTATTTTTTAACTTTTGTGTTTTATTTCTAAGCATTTTTATTTCCAAAAGTTTGATTTATTTAAAAATGAGTTTTGAAATTTTTAAAAAAAAAAAAAAATCAATTTCAGTTATTTAATGTATTAGCTGTAAAGACTGGCAAATATTCGTTAAAATTCGGATTATGAAGTTTACTGAAAGGCAAAGTTGACTTCGGCTTTAACTTCGGTGCCAAAGTTGAAATTGAAATTTGGCTTTCAGTTAAATTTGGTAACAATTTCAAAATTTCATTTAGCTTTCAGTTAAATTTAAAAGCTATAAAGTTTTTTTCAATTTATATAGAAGATTAATTATGAAGTATATTGTATATTTTATGTATATCAACCTGTTTCAATTGGTTACAACCCTCTTTCAACTCTTTAACTCCGAAAAGTATTTCGGAGTTAAAGAGTTGAGGGAGGGTTGTAACCACTATAAGAAGTAGCTTCCTCAACTAAAGTGGCCTACTAAACCTTGGGAACATAGCCGAGTGGGCCACTTCCCAAGGCACTTCACTTAACATATTTAATTTATTTTAAAAATATACATAAGCGTATATTTTTAAAATAAATTAAAGTTTAGATGGCTTTACTTGTCCTTCGTCGTGTTTTGAATTATGGTTAATTACAAGCTAAAAATAATAATTTTAGTTTATAAAAAATTATTATAGAGCAACTGCGGCGCAGTAGTTGGAGCACTTACTTTAGAAGCAAGAGATTTAGGACTTGAAGCAAGCTCTGGGCATATTTTTCACCATCAGTAAGGAAGGAGGTTTGAACTTCCTAGTTTAATACTTTTCTGATATACTCCGTTGCAAAATCCTTAGGTCTTCTTGGAACACATAAAATAAAAAACAAGAAAATATATATGCAAATATGATTTAAATTCGTCTTTTATTTAAATTTGAGTCTTAAAAAGTTGACTTTGCCAATCCTTAATTAGCTAATTTTACTGTTGAAAACCAAATTACTGTTTTTATTTTTCATTTTCTATCGATTATTTAAAACTAAGCTTATAAAAAAGGCCACAATGTGCTATCAACATGGAAAAATTGTGGGTTAAAGACATGATGTCTTGTGTTGACTGGGTACACTCAGTTCAAGTGCTCTATTTTTTCCACATAGTGGTCTATTTTTCTACATGATGCAAATCACATACCTATTGTGAAATGAGCATTAAATAATGGATTTTAATTCAATGCACATTAAGTTTTTAATCTAGTTTTTTTTTTTTAAGAGACTAATTTTATGATATTATTAGATGCTAATTGTGTAATTATGTAAATTATGTTTATAGATGTTAATTTATTCAACATTCAGTGCTCTTGGTGGAGATGTTTATTCACAAATGATGTTGGTAATTTACTTTTTTACTTGATACTATGTCTAAATTAAGTTGTAATATTGATTATATGGTTTCCAACATAAAAAGTGGATATTTTCCTGGCAACCCTATTCACATTTTCATCATGTTAGATCAAATTTTAGCATCAATAATTTTATCTGGGAATGAGTTATTCTATATGAAATCACCAGACCATACCAACCTCATCTCTAAGAAATGAGATTTTTATTTATATGCAGTCCATAAAAAACAATAGATGGTAATATTTTAACTAAAGATACAAATATAATGCTAATTTAGCATTTTAATGATCTTGAGTTTGAAAAACCCTATTCACATTTTCATCACTATTAGATCAAATTTTAGCATCAATAATTTTATCTGGGAATGAGTTATTCTCTATAAAATCACCAGACCATACCAACCTCATCTCTAAGAAATGAGATTTTTATTTATATGCAGTCCATAAAAAACAATAGATGGTAATATTTTAACTAAAGATACAAATATAATGCTAATTTAGCATTTTAATGATCTTGAGTTTGAATGAGTGTTTTGATAAAAGTTTTGAAGATTTGTCCTAAAAATAAAAAATTTTGTTTGAGAAATTCAAAAATAGAACTCTAGGATTTGATATTCTCCAGGTATGTCTTTTTATTATTTATTTTAGGAGTCAAAATAAAGACCCAAAATCCAAACACCTAAATCATCTAAAAACCCTAGAAAAAGTTAATTTTATATCGTTTTATCTTGGAAAAATGTTAATTTTTCCAAGATAAAATTAATTTTTTGACTTTTTTAAAATAAAAATTAGTTAATAATGAAAAAATATTTCTATGGCAAAATTTAAAAACATTCTGAAAAAAATTTTGGAATTTTTAAAATTAGTTGTTTTTATTTCTAAATTTTGCAAAATATAAAAAAAAAAAAAAAAAGTAAATATTATTAATAATAACTTACTTTAAATCAATAAATCTTTAGCTTTGTAGAATTCTATAAAGAATAAAAACTAAAGTTTTTTAGCAGTTTTTTAAAGCTTTGTTCTACCTCTCAAGCAAAATTCCTGGCGACACCCATTAATGTAGTAAAACAAATGAACGTTTTTATTCAACAACAGCAACAAAAATTTATTAGAAAATAACAATTAGAAAAAAAATAAGATATAAAATGGAAATTTATTAAAATATTATTTGGTAATATTTTGGATTGATTCATAAAATGAAAGCAAGCAAAATTGTTGTTTTTATTTTTATTTTTATTTTCCTAAAGATTGGTAACGTGAATTTTAGTGTTAAATGTACACATATTTTAGCTGATAAACAAATAATAAATATATTGAATATTGAAAAAGCTCTTAACATCTGAAATGTTGACACAGATGAGCCACAAAACTCTAGAAAACTAGGCTTTAATCAACTCAAAGATTTTTCTTGTAAACATCAAGAAGAAATAATGTAGGGAGCAAGTTAAAAAAGAAATAGTTTAATAAGAATTTTATTATTATGAGCTTTTCTTTTATAAATATTTTGAGAAAAAAACAACAAAATGTTGCAATTCTTTTGAAAGACACAAGGATAATAAAAATAGTGGCGCAAAAGGTGAAAGTACTATTGTGAAACAAAAGGTGAACTAAATATTGTGAACCAAAAGGTGAAAGAGCTAATGTGAAACAAAACTATTATAAAAATCAAAAGCAAAATACTTAATCAAAATTTATGCTAATTGTTAAAATTTCAGTTAATTGCAAAAACTTATTAAATTTTTTTGGCAGCAAAAAGATTTTCCAAGACTTGTCCTGTTCTTTCCTACACTATCTGTTATATTTTTCTTTTTGTTCATTTTATTTTTGAAAAGTGTAATTTTTGTTTATATTTATATTATTTTTATATTTGTTATATTATTATTGTTTGTTTATTATTATTATTGTTGTTTATTATATTATTATATTGTTGTTTATTATATTATTATTGTTATTGCTATATTATTTGTTATATTATATTGTTATATTGTTATATTTTATATTTGTTTATATTATTTTTATTTGAAAAGTGTAATTTTTGTTTATATTTATATTATTTTTATATTTGTTATATTATTATTGTTTGTTTATTATTATTATTGTTGTTTATTATATTATTATATTGTTGTTTATTATATTATTATTGTTATTGCTATATTATTTGTTATATTATATTGTTATATTGTTATATTTTATATTTGTTTATATTATTTTTATTTGAAAAGTGTACTTTTTGTTTATATTCCATAAATATATAAGAGCATAATATTACATATAAAGTATACATACATAAATCTCCTTAATACACTTATCTCCTTAAAACACTTATCTCTTTAAAAAAGCAATGATGATAACTAATTTTTGTTAGAAAAGATGCAATCTTATTCTTTCACTTAACATATTTTTATAATCTTGTTTTATTAAAGGTTTTCTTATTAAAAAATATTTTAAAGGGTTACCGCAGCTATATGGGAATTGGTGTAACTAAAAGTTGTGAGTCTGCATTAACATATTACAAGAAGGTTGCTGAGTCAGGTGAGACTTTTAATTCAGTATACTTTTTATTGTGCATAATAATTTCTAGACAAAAAAGAAGTAAAAAATATTTTTATCATATAGTGTCCAATAATACCTCTAGCCATGGTGGTATTGCAGTGCAACGAGTTCGTCTTTATGATGAACTTGAGCAACCAGGAGGAGTAACTGGACAAATTGATGAGGATTTATTGCAGTATTACCACTTTCTTGCTGATAAAGGTGATCTACAAGCTCAAGTAAGTAAAAAATTTTTACTTGAATTAATTGTTCTCTTTTTTCCATTTAATCATTTTGTTTTTTCTGTTATTTCTATTTTTTGTAGGTTGGACTTGGTCAATTATATTTTCAAGGAGGAAGGGGAATTGAAGTTAGTTATGAGGTAAGTAAAATTGTTTATTTTTACTTTTCACATAGATACTTAATTTTTAATGTACATATTCACCTCTTCAAAGCCCAGAGGGGTTTGTTTTTTAACTTTTTCAGTCTACATAAAAAACTCAAACAAAAAAAAATAAGAAAAGTGTCTAAAAGTTGAGAAAACCATTTAAGCTAAATAAGATACAAATATAAAGAAAGTAAATTTTGTATTTTTTTACTGAAAAAAGTTTTTTGGATTTTTTAAAGTATGACCTGAATAATCTCTGGTTGTTGAGGAGGCTTTTTTAAAATTCCTAGTACAAAAAAAGAAGTTAAGAGTATAGTGGGGTTTTAATTTGATACATCTAACTCCATTTGCAGTGAAGAACCCAGAATTTATTTGGGGATACCGTTTTTTTTTCAGCAATGTTGAAGGGGGGGGGGGTTATGTTTTTGATTTCCTCCTCCCCCTCATTCTCCCTTAGTTAAATGGGTGCCACAATAATTATTAATCATCATTTTCTTAATAATCATTTATGTTTATCTTGTTCAGTTTTATCCTATAATAAGGTGTTGATTTAAAGGCATTTTTTGAATAATGAGTTTACTGGTGGACGATGTTACTTTAGCTAAAAAAAAACTATTTTACTTAAGATTTTAATAAACGCTTTTGTTGCATATACCACGCTATCAGTAAATAGTTATTGAAAATTGTTTAAAGTATTTTAAAAAGTTATCAACTATATTTTAGTAAATTTAATTTAAAATAATAATTAAAAATATTTTAAACAATTTTTAATCAATATTTACATTACATAATATATTTACATATATTATATTGCATAATATTTGTAAAATTAACAAAATAGTTTTACGTCTTGTATTTGAATTAAAAACATAATTATTTAATAAACAAATTCGATAAGCATTTAATAAACGTATTTAATAAACTATTTGAATAAAAATATAATCATTTAATGAACTTATTTTCTATTATTTTAAATTTTAAATTTTGATTTAAATATTAGTAAATTGTTCATTTAACTTTTACTAAAGGTTATAATTTTTAAAGTGATTTTAAGCGCCTTTTAAATTAAAGATAATTAAAGAGATAATTATGGTAAACATAATTTTAAAAATATTCTATTATTTTGATAAAAACCATATTATATTTTTAAAAACATATATTTTAAAAATATATTTTTTTAATCATTAAGAATAATTTAAAAAATTACATTTGAATAAATAAATTACATTTACTATGGGTTATTTTAAACAGATTTAAATAAAACTTTTATTAAGTTATTGAAACTTTTTTTCTATTATTTTAAAAAAAATATTGAAAGGAAAAAAAACTGTCTGAAAAAGTTTATACTTCGTTTTTTTGTTTCCCTCACGTAAACTAAAATGTCAAGCTAAAGATCAAAAGTTCATTATTTAAAAATTAAACTTTCGCAATAGTTACAAGGACTGATATTTTTTACTTTTGTTCATTTATTATCAAAAGCAGTTTACTCTTAGTTGCCAAAAACAAAAGTTAACCTTATGCTGAATGGATACTTAAAAACGCTTTAACTTTCAAAAAAGCAAATCTTTTATACATTCCATTGTTATAAAATTTTGCAACATGGTTTTAAAATTAAGTTTTGTAACAACTTTCATTTTTTTAAAAGTTATGTCCAGGTAATACCCGAAGGCAAACTACATGACGTAGTTATGTAAAAAAGCAATTTCTTTTTAATTTTTTTTATTTTCCTGAAGAAAAAATGAGGTAGCTAAATTAAACTGAGAATTATTTACATACTACTGCATTAAAAACTAAATTTTTTTTTTCTATATTTCATAAAAAATCAAAAGACAAATTAAAAATAAAAATACTTTTTGGGCACTTTTTTTTGGGCGCCCATACCGGTAAAACAGTACTAAAACACATCTGGGTTCTTCACTGATTTGATTCATCACCACCACATATAGGTAAATACAAGATATATATTTGTGAGTAAATTATAGTTAAAAGAGTTTTAATAAGTTTTTTTTTCACTGATGACTTTTTTGCACTTGATGCTTTTTAGAGATGATTATCTCTAATTGAGATAAGGGCTGGGCCCTAAGTATCATTTTTTTTTATATTCTTTTTTATTGTTATACATAGTTTTGATACTTATATAATTTTTTTAAATATGGGTATTTTGTTTAGAAAGCATTCAAGTATTTCCAGCTGGCAGCAAATGCAGGCAATGGCAATGGGCTTGCTTATTTAGGAAAGGTATTATATTTAAATAAAATATTATTGCATTTCTGTTGTTGATAAAATTTACACAATATAATTTCTTAAGCTAATAAAAAGCAAAGTGGAAACAACTAAGTATTTTTTTTTTTCAACAGTAAATAAAAAGGTACAAATGTGGAGCTTTGTAGTAAATGCTATGCAGAAAGAAAATAAGTGAAAAAGTACGATGACAAAGATAATGAGATGACCAAATGATTTTTCGTTGGTTTTTTAGATTGGTCATAGAAATAATGTTGTTTAGATTGATCATAGAAATAATGTTGTTTAGATTGATCATTGAAATTAATGTTGTTTAGAAAATTTAGTTATTAAGCAGTAGGTTACGTTAATGGCAAATTGTTTAAAAAATCAGGAGAGTACTCGGTTATAATCTGTTATGGTTATTAAACATTTGTTTAATAACCGCAGGATTTAACCCTTAAAAAAACTTATAAGAGCTGGACATTGGTGTTGCTAAGGCGTTGCTACTAAATATTTTAAAGTGCAACTGCTACCTTCTGCTTCTTGGGCAACCAGAAACTGGTGTCACTTTTCAATATTTTTCTTTTTTTTTTATTTTTATTTTTCTCTTACTTTTTTAAATTTTTAAATCAATAGGGCTAGACCGCATCTAGTCCACTACTAAATTTTTTAAAGTTCAACTTTCATTTTTAAAATTTATATCTAAAAAATAACCATTAGTAAAATTATATAAGATTATATTACTTTCTATTTTTATTTTATACATTTATATATTTTTATTTTAATTTATCTCCCCAAAGCCATAAAAGCTGCTAGAGGCTACTTTTAGTTGTGGTTACAACCCTCTCTCAACTCCGAAACATCATTCTTGACAAACAAGGCTACTATGCGGAGAAACAAGTTAATATATAAAATTAATATTAGTTCCCAGTTTATTAAGTTTATTTTGGAAAACAGCTCCGCTTCAATTTTAATCAAAATCCTTTAAAATTCTAAACCACAATTTTTGATTGTTGAAACATTAAAACCACAATATTGATTTTTAAAATAATTCAAAGTTGTTTACAGGTTTGTTAAGTATAAAAAAGTATGAAATAAAAAGTATTTTCAGGAAGTAAATAAAAAAAGTTATTATTATAAACTTCTAAATTATGCATTTTGCAGTAAATTATGCATTTTGGCCGTTATAAAAAAATATCAAATTAAATGCAATTAATGCTTAGTTAATGAAATTTAATTTCTTGTTACAGATGTATTTAGAGGGGCTTCATGTACCAAAAGATGTCACAAAAGCTCTTGAATATTTTAAGAAATCTACAGAGCAGGTATATTTTTTAACCTTTGGATATGTCAACAACATATTTGTCAGTAAAATATAAATTTTCTATTAAAAAAGTAAACTCTGAAATGTTTTAATAGAAATAGTTGTTGGAAAATTAAAAGTTCAACTGTAAATGAAACTTTTGTAAAAGATAACATGTTTTTTATGAATATAAAATGCGTAAAAAGCATAATGGAATATGAATTGTCATAATATTCTTTTTTATTTTATATCTTTATTATCATTATGAACATTAACTTTTTAAACTTAACATTAAACTAGTTTAATTTTAAAATAAATACAAAACAATGTAGAAATGTTATTATGTAAAAATGTTCTAGAATGTTTATTTTGTTTCCAGTTTTTTTAAATATTTTCTTGAGATTTGATTCCTTTTGGTCCATAAAAACTAAATGAATAAAAGTATTTTGTTTTATTATTTTTTTTTTTTTTGCAAGTATTAATTATTGTTAAAAAGTTATTTATTAAGAATTATTATTTATTAAGAATCATTTAGTTTTGTAAAGAACTTTTTTATGAAACGGTTGATATGCATTTACACTTCTGTTACTAAAACAGGTTTAAATTTTGTGCACATTTTTGATGGAGTGTTTATTTTTGATGGTCTGTTAGCAAAATTTAGGGTATTAAAACATTTTTGATTGGGTGTTTAAACACGCTTACAAGGAATTTCATTTAGCAAAATGAGCTGAAATTAAAAAAAAAGGAACAAAAACTTTATAGGTTTAAGTGAGCAAAGTTTGTTCAAAACAGTGAAAAGATAAAATGAGTAATAGCCATGCTTTTTAATTAAGTTCTTAAAAAAATAATTATTAAGTCAATTTTTTTAATTATATAATTAGTTCAGGAAGATTGTCTGTTATTGTCTTAATATTTAGAGATCTTTAAGGTAATGGAAGAATCAAAACATTAGACTTATTAATTAATCATTACTAAACAAAAAGTTTTTAGTGTAACTCAAAATAGTGCAAACATGTAAAGTTGCACATTTCATATTTAAAGTGTGTACAGCATGCTTTAGCATAAAGTGATGATAGATGATTATAGTAATTACCTTAATTATGTATAATTTGCATATAATTGTAATTTATATAAAGTAATTTTATATAACTTACAAATTATATCTATATTGGAGTAAAATTTCTTTTATTTGTTTATATTGTTTTCTATATCTTTTCAACAAAAACATTTTCTAGGCTAATCCTATTGGTCAGGCTGGTATGGGAATGTTGTATCTCAATGGTGAAGGTGTGCCAAAGGTAGTACCAGTTTTCATTGTTTTTAGTTAGTATAATTTTTTTGGGGATAATTTTATCTTAAAATAACTGAAAATAAATAAACAGAAAATTATCTCTTTATGTAATATAATAGAACATGAAAAACACTAACATTATTTGTTTTAAGCCTACACCTATATGTAATAGAACATGAAAAACACTAACATTTGTTTTGAGCATACACCTATATATATACTTTGAATGTACTATCTTTTTATTTTAAAAATCAGTTGTAATATATCAGTCGTAACAATAATTGTTGCATGCTTATATTAAAGCAAATATAAAAAATTATTTGAGAAATACAAAAAATTTTTTTATCAGGATTATCAAGAAGCTATCAAGTATTTTAGCCAGGCAGCTGAGCAAGGTTGGGTGGAGGGACAGCTGCAGTTAGGAAATATGTATTTTAGTATGTTATTATAAAATTCTTATTTTTTTTTTGTTTTGTTTTGTTTTATTATGTAAGTTTAGTTTTTAAAAAAGATTTTTTTTTCAGATGGATTAGGTGTCAAGCAAGACTACAAGCAAGCTATTAAATACTTCACTTATGCGTCACAATCAGGTCAATAAAATGTTAACATTATTTTTTACTTTATTGTAACTATTATATTTATAATTTTGCTATGTATATTCACAATTTGTTTTGACAGTTTTGAAAATATTTTGCCAGCTTTTTTATTGCAGCTCTCCTTGTGTCGTTTCTGTTTTCCAAAAAAGTCGTGCAATGACTCAATTATGAAAGCTATGAAATGATTTTATGAAAATTATGTTTACTGCATCAATAACTAATAATTAGTAAAATTAGTAGATTGAGTTGTAAAATTGAAATTTTTAAAGATTGCTAATATTCTTAAACCATTTTTTTTTTCATGCAAATGAAAGTCAATTAAATGTTGCTGTCTTTGTTCATTATTATATATATTAAAAGTATATACTATATATATATATATATATATATATATATATATATATATATATATATATATATATATATATATATATACATATATATATAACATAACACACATATATATATATGTGTGTGTGTGTTTGTGCGTGTGTGTGTGTGTTTCTGAAACAATTGAAACTAAATTTTCTAGAACGTTTTTAAAATCTGGTATATATACACATGAAATTTCCATAGTTCCATCACTTAATAAAAGTTGATTGAAGTTTGAATAAGATTTTGATTTGTTTGTTCTATATGAAAGTTTTGTGTGTTTTTAATTAACATTTGTTATTTAACTAGTACTATGCCACGCGGAAGGGTTTTAAATGAAGAAGAAAAAGCAAAAATTGTTGCTTATAAAGATATAGGTTTTTTCAATCAATAAATTGCAAAGAAAATCAAAATGTCTAATCATGCAGTGAATAGTTTTATAAAATTAGGTGAAAATTACAACAATAATAACTCTAAAGACGGAAATAAAAAAATAACCATAAGGCAACATTCTTCCCTTATGCGTTTGGCATCATCCGGAGTACGAACAACTAGGCAAATAAGGATTTTGTCAAAATCAGGATGGTTCCGGTGGAAAAAAATGATCACAAAACCACCATTGACTAAAAAACACAAAAGTGCAAAATTTGAGTTTTCCAAAAGACCACATGACATGGGACGCAGAATGGGAAAATGTTTATTTTTCTGATGAAAAAAAGTTTAACTTAGATCGACCTGATGAAAAAATATATATACCATTGTTATGAGTTGTAATTTAGGTGGATGGACAGTTATGGTGTGGGCTGCATTTTGTTTCCATGGCAAAGTTCCAATATGTTTTATTACAACAAAAATGCAAGAAATCACAAAGATCTTTTAGAGGGTGTTTTAATCGAATTTAGTGTAGGTTAACCTACTGAAATCAGATTTTTCCAATAAGATAATGCAGCGATTCACACAGCACAAAGTGTAAAACAGTAGTTCCACAAAAAAATATACATATTTTAGATTGGCCATCCCATTAACCTAATTTGAACCCTATTGAAAACTATAGAAATTTTGCTCAGTGTGTATGTATGTATGTATGTATATATATATATATATATATATATATATATATATATATATATACACATATATATATATATATATATATATATATATATACACATATATATATATATACACACATATATATATACACACATATATATATATACACACATATATATATATATATATATATATATATATATACACACATATATATATATACACACATATATATATATACACACATATATATATATACACACATATATATATATACACACACACATATATATATATATATATATATATATATATATATATATATATATATATATATATATATATATATATACACACACATATATATATATATATATACACACATATATATATATATATATATATATATATATATATATATATATATATATATATATATATATATATACACACACACACATATATATATATATATATATATATATATACACATATACACATATTATATATTTAGTGTCTTCAAAAAAAATGGCACAGCATGGTTTTAAAAAATGGCACAGTATGATTTTTAAAAGTCATAAAACTCAATAATGTAGTGCTTATTTAAAAAATTTATTTTTTCATTATAAATAGAGAACTACTAATGAACTATATTCTTTAATAAAAAAATATAAATTAATTTAACTGTTAAAATTCAACTTAGCTGCACAACATAATTGAAAAAATTGCATACATTTTTTAAGATAAATTAAAACTGATTGTAGCATAAATTTTTTTCAATTTTTTGGTTTTTAATGTTAGATAATATATTTACACTATTTTAATAATTAAAATTATAAAGAAATTAAAAAAAAAAAAGGAAGAGGACCTTCACATTAACAACAGGTAAAAAAAAAATTTCTTTTAAATTATGTTTTATGTTTACCATTATAGTTTTCCACTTCATAAAGCGTTACATGTTATTTTATATTGTATTTTTGCAAAGAAAAGTTATTTTTTAATTTTTCATATCTTCATGATTAAAAAAATTGTGTATTATTTTATTTAAATTAAACTTTTTTGCAAATTTATGTTGGTAGAAAAATATAATTAAATGGAAAAAATGGCAAAGTTAGATGCTTTTGATCTACAAAACTTCTACAAAAGTTTAACCATTGATTAGGTGTACCTAACCATTGATTAGATGTAAGGCTCCTACCTAACCATTGATTAGTAAGGCATTCCTACTTGTAATATCTTAGCATTTAGTTTTAACTATATTATTTGTAACTATATCAATTTAGAAAAAAAACATGTTTTTCTAAATTGGTCCAACAGACTTTGATAAAGGTCAAATAATTCAAATGCATAATGATTGGTTTTTAATATACAGTCAGATTGTGTAATATTTCCAAAAACATTTGATGTGGTAAATCTGCAGTTAAAGAGCTAGTTAGAGAGGATATCAATGAGTCAGATAAGCAAAATTTAAACCTTGAACACTTATGTAACAATACAATTTTTGCAAGAATAAATATAGGTGAAAAGTTTACTTTAGGTTGGCAAACAAAATAAACAAGAAAAATCGTGTTAATTGATTAAAGTTGTGATGAGAACTTAAACTGGATTTTTGATCAATGGAAATGTGTCATATGGACTGATGAGTCATCTTTTGTGCTACAATATAGTAATTATGAAAAAATCTGGTAAAAAAAGATGAAAGGTATATTCCAGAGTGCACACGTGCCACAGTAAAACATAACAAAAAAAATCATGATTTGGGGTGCATTTACTGTTGATGGAGTGATAAACCTGAACAAAGTTGAAGGAATCATGGACCATAAGTACAATTTTATTTTAGGTCACCAAATAAAGCCAAATTTAATCACATCTCTTTCCAGATGGAAACTATATAATTCAGCAAGACAATGACCCAAAGCATACAATGAGAAAAAATAAAATATATATACAAAAGGTTGGAATATCTACCTTTAGGTGACCAACACAATCAACTGATCTTAATCCAATTGAGAATCTGTGATCTAGTTACACTCTAAACTCAAAGAAAATGTTGAAAGCTTTCCCCACAGATCCCAAGCAGTTATCGATGCAAATGGTTATGCGACCAAGTATTAAAAATGACTATAATAATTAAAGACTAATTGAATTTTATTTAGTTGTAACAAGGGAAAATGTAGTTGTATTAAGTGTTCTATATTAAACAGCAAAGATGCAAAAAATTAGAAACCATACTCGATTTTACCTTTTTTTAAAAAAAAATGAAAAAAACAGTCCAACAGTTTAATTGACTTTTATTTTATTTTTAATGACATACAGCTGCGAAAAATAAAATAGCACCACCACCAAAAATTGGTTGAAAATAGAACTTTTAACTATTTTTGATAGTTTAAAAATCTTTTAAAAGTAAAATGGCTTATAATTTTTATAAAAAACAAAATATACAAGTTTTAGTATATAGTATTCATTTATTAAACAAAAATTCAAAAAAAAAAATCAAATAAAACGCAAAAAAAAAAATAGCACCACAGCTTTAATGTGTACTTTAAAATAAGGAAATCAAATGAGATCAATTGTTTTAAACATTTTACAATAAATATGAGTTATTTCTTAACATATTAGTATTTTGTAGCGTGACCTTTATTGGCAATGACGGTTACACAATGTCTTGGCAGTTAACCAAATCCTGACATCGCTTTAGCGGAATTTCGCTCCATGTCTCCTTAACTACGTTCCAAAGTGACTCCTTCATGGTGGGCTTGACAACAGCAACCACCTCCTTTACATCAGCCCACAAATTCTCGATTATGCTTAGATCTGGCGACTGTGCTGGCCACTCCATAACGTTCACTTTATGCTCCTCAAACCAATTCTTCGCCTTTTTGCTAGTGTGCTTTGGGTCATTGTCCTGTTAGAACACCCAGGACAACGGCATTTCATAGTCTGCAAACGGCAACATCACTTTATCCAATATATCAACATAAACGTGTTGTTCCATAATAGTAGTAATATGATGAATAGGCCCTACTCCGTAATAAGAAAAGCATGCCCATATCATTATACTACAACATCCATGTTTAATAGTTTTGATAGTATATTTTGGATTTTGTTCTGCATTCGGCAGTCTTCTGACATACGCCCGAGAGCCTTTTCCACCATAAAGCACTATCTTACTTTCGCCTGTCCATAAAATATTCCTCCATTTTTCAAGTGGCCAATTTGAGTGTTTTTTAGCAAACGCAATACGCTTTACAATATGTCTGCCACTTAGAAGTGGAACTTTTCTGGGGCTACAGGCTTTTAATCTATTAACTCGCAGACAACTCCAAGCTATTTGTACCGTTGCATTGTTGTTAAAGTCGTTTTTCAGCTGGGTAGCTGTTTTAAAAGGTTTTTTTTTAGCCTGTCATACTAAGCGACTGGCCAGCAATCTTGAAATAGAATGTTTTCGACCACGTGTCTTAGCCATTTCTTGAAATTTTATGGCATTTCTTATCATTTTATTGTAGCACTCAACTAAACGACCAATTTCTCTATAAGATTTCCCTGCTGATATCAACTTTCAGATCAGTTCTCGGTTTTCTGCACTGCAATGCTTTCCGCGTCCCATTTTTATATGTTATTGTCTCCTACTAATACGTACTAACATAAAACGAATAAAACAGCAAAAAAAAATCCAACGCTTGCTATTTTCACAATTATTTTTACCGTTATCAGAGTATTTTACTACAAAAGAGTATGTGGTGCTATTTTATTTTTTGGTCAGAATTGGCATTGTTGATTAAAATCGAGCAACACCAAACAGTTTTTTTTCCCAAAATGATTTGTTTTAGAAAATAATAATTAATAAATAATTAGCTAATATTTTAAACAGCAAAGCTATAAAAAAAAAAATATTTTGCATGGTGTTTTCTTAACAAAAAAGAAAATACGCTTAGTGGTGCTATTTTATTTTTCGCACCTGTATATAGTGTAATAGAAGTTATTATTAGACGTATTTGAAATAAAGTTAAAAAAATAATTGAGAAAAGATTGATTTTTTTTTTTTGTTGTTTTTTTTAAAAAAAATCATGCTGTCCCATTTTTTTTTTTTTTTTGAGGACACTGTGGATGTCCTCAAAAACATTTCTTGTTGTATCTAAAGTTATAATAAGTTATCAAAACATCAAAAACAGCAGTGTACTCAGGCTTGGTCGGGAAGCGGGAGCGATCGCTCTCGATTGCTGACCACCTAAATAATATTTAGTTGCGAAAAGCTGGCCAGATTTTTTAGTCGTTTTGAGAACATTTTAAAAAGCAAAAAAAAAAGCGTTAAAGATTAATTGGACTGATGAGAGACAATTACAAAAAAAAAAAAAAAATAGGTAAATAAAATATCTTTAAATGCGAAAAAACTTAAAGCTAAATAAATTATGTTTAAAACAAATATTTTCAAAACATCGCTCTTTTTCTTCTTAGTAAACAAATGAAATAATTAAATCATAGAAATTAAATCAACAATATAAAAATCAACTTAACAATATAGAAATCAACTTAAGGTTAACAATAATTTATGACGAGGAAGCGAATTTGCTTCACAATATCGCTGGTGATGTTTAGTGAGTGGGCTTTTTAGTTTTAATTAGTATTTAAAGCAGAAAAAAGTATAACGAGTTTTTAGAATGGCAACTTAAGCGTTTACTAACTCTAATTATTAAACTTAATAATTAGAGTTAGTAAACCAATATCTTATAACTTTTCTTTATATCTAATTATTTGCTATATATATTTGTGTTCTGTCGTGACCTTAGGCGCGGTGC